CATGACCGACAGTTTTTCAAAAACTCAGGGTTCTCAAAATGTTCGCTTTTTTACCCACTCTTTCCCTATGCCTTATATAAAGATATATAAAAATATTTTGTATTTTGATTGATATCTTCCAGCTTTAGAATTATTTTAAACGAACCATTATTTTAAAAGCTTTTTTACCCATTACATTTAATTATTAAATAATTTATTAAAATAAGAAAGAAAATATATTTATTATATAAAACATTATATGGTAATAATATATTATATTTGGCAATTTTTATGCAGCAACAGCATTTGTAAATGTTTTTAAGTAATTGGAATGCAGTCCAATTTTTCTTTAGTTCTCAAAATCCTGAGTCTTTTCAGTCCAATAACTAAAGACTAAGTATTTTTTATAAAAAAAAAATTTGTAAAAAAAAAAAAAAAATTAATTTAAAAACTTTTAAATCTAAATAAAAATTAAGTTGAGTCTTATTTTTACTGAAATATTTAAAGTTATCTAAAATAATAACACTAAAATGATATTTAAAGTAACATTAAATAATTAAAAATAAAATTGAATAATTAAAATAACATTAAAGATAAAACCAAAATAACACTAACCAAAATAACACTAACCAAACTTCTTTTAGTTCAATAGTAAAAATCTTTCATTAGCTCATTAGCTCATTTTTGCAGTGCAAAAGTTTAACATTTATTTTAATAGTTTTAGGCAACGTGAATGTAAAAACCTGTAGTTATCTGATAACGTTTTGATATTGTCTTTCTAAACTTTACACAAAGTTGTCCTAAAATATTCTTCTGTGCACTTTATAAAAGATATTGAGACATTCATATAATTGGATCCATAAATGCCGGCACAATTTAAAGCTCAAACGTTTTTCAAAAATAATAATTTATTGAGTCTTTATTGTCCTTGGTACGATGCTCTGTCAAGGATAATGGACTTTAAATAAACTAAAATGGAGTTAAAGCCCTCTTTGTACTTAAACAATTTTTCCATTTCAACGATATTTCTTTTTAATAAAACCTAGGGGATATATAAATAAAACCTTGATACATACATATATATATATATATATATATATATATGTATATATATATATATATATATATATATATATATATATATATATATATATATATATATATATATATATATATATATATATATATTGTGCCCCTCCACTTTGAAATCCGTGTCGTCGACCATTACAGATATATCTTTAATTAATTGATGATTACAAAGTAATTTTTTATAGCAAGAAACAAAGTAAAGTTGGTAAGTATAACCTTTAAAAGCTTGAACAGGAAAGTGAAGTATAAACTTTAAAAGTTTTAACAATCTGTTCATCATGTTTTGTTGAATTTATCTTAATATTTTTTCTTTTTTTTTCTTTTTATTAGTTGAAATGATGTTTGTTAAATGCCAAAGTTTTAGAACGTAAACAAATGGGATTTAATTTAGGCATTAGATCGATAAAGAGAAAAATAACAGGATTCAAAATTCAGTGTTTATATATATTTTAAATGTAAAATGCTTTAATATGAATCAAATCAAGGATATCCGGATTAAATATTCATTTGTACTTAATTATTAACTAAAACATAAATTTTTTAAATTAAGTGTAAATTAAAAAAAAAAATTCTGAGCCTTTTTTTAAATTTACCTTGAGAACTTTAGATTATCCGCAGGACTGTGAGAATTATTATTTAACCGTAAAAACTTAAAGATTGAAAAATTTAAAGATCTGTTTTATGGTAAGACCCAAAACAAAAATTCAATTTTTTATGCAATGATATGGCATCACATACCAAAACAAAGTATGTTTTGTTAATGCAGTCGGTGTTAAAAGTTTATGATGCTGTTTCAAATTTTAATATTAGAAGAGAAGTAAGAATATTTTTATTTAAAAAGATGATTTTTAGTGATGATATCCTTTAATGGTGTTCAACTATAAACAAAAAGCGCTTTATTTTCAGAGTAATTAAAAAAAAAAAAAAAACAATGCAGAAAATGACCAAGAAAATAGCCTATATAATCCTGGTTTATATTTTTATAAATAATAGTTTTTAAATTAAACATTTGACAGAAAACATTTAGTAAAATTGTGAATATAACATTTCAATGCGTTTTTTTTCAAAATGACAATTTTTGACCATTCGGCCAACATTCTTCTAAAAAAATTTTTCTTAATATCAGGGTTCCTCTAAATGTTTAAGAGCCTTAAAGCACCTTTAAAAACATTTTAATACAAAAAGTTTTAAATTTAATGTTATTTTACTATTTCGAAGATATTTAGAGCTCAGGCAAGGTAGTTTTAAAAAATTGTAGTTTTTCAATGCACCCTCGTGTACATATAGCGGCTAAAAAATATTTGGTTGCCAGCTCAGGTCTAAAATTTTACTTTGAAACTTCCTAAAATCTAAAATATCAAAAAATAGTAATAGCACTCCTCTCATACAAAAGTAAACATCAGGTAAAATTTTTTTTACATGATTTAATGCCTGGTTTAATGTCCTTGGAATAACCTTCAATAGGCTTAGTAAATTTAAACTTCAAAGACCTAAGAGATTTTATAAATTGTATATATCTGAAAACATTTTCAAAACTGGGGAGCTGGTTTGTGGGCAGCTGGTTAATAGCACACTTGTAAAAAAATAGTATTCTTCTTGGATTAGTCTGTATCGTCCTCTTTTCTCTTTTATTTGTCTATTTCTTGCAAAGAAGACCCATATTAGAAAATTATATGAAATATTATATTGTATAACAGATAAATTCATTTAATCATTCATTAAAAAAATTGCATTCTTTATTAAATTTCATTTTAAATTTTATCTATATGTAAAATGCATGTAGCATGACAACAAATATTTATGTAGTGCAACCATGTAATTAAATTTATTTTTTTATTTGACTAAAGAAAACTTTTGTTCATCCACTAAAGAGGATTGGCGTGTTATATGTTATAATTTCAGATTTTTTTGAAAAACAAGCATGTTTTTCTTTTTTTTTATATATATAAATTGTCTTTAAGAGTATTACAATAACCAGGTATATTTTACAATTATTACATTGTTATACAAAAATAAATGAAGATATTTTTCAATCAAAAATATAATTTTTAAAAATGTTTCTGTTTGAATGAAGCAAAAGTCAGTTGGTCTTTGTTTTTATTGTAATAAGATTGCAATTAATTCGAAGATATATTTGTTTTCAAGTTTCATACCATAAAGGTTTTGTAATACATTTGGCGACAAATTTTCTCTACATTTAAACACGAAGCATAAAATATTAAAGACATTTAGTTGATATACATTTAAAACATTCATTTCTTTAAAAAGTTGTTTCGTATGAAAAAAACGATTTTTAAAAGTTATTGCGCGAGCTGCTTATTTCTGAAGAAGATAAAGATATATTTCTCCATATAACATTTGCATTGCTTATATGACAATCTATAAATTAATAATATATAATAACTGTGTTAACTGGTGTTTTATTAATATATTTACGGCTTTATAGGGAACTCCGATTCATTTTGCAATTTTAGTAGGAGGTATTATCAATATGATTTGTCCAAGATAGATTTTCGTCAATATATGCTTCGAGAATATACGCTTCTTTGTGATTTTTTCTTTTTTATGATTATATTATCCATTAAAAGGTCTGGCATAATATGAGACAGTTTCTGTTTTTTTGAAGGTGGGTATAAAAGTGTCCATTTAGTTTTTTTTATATTTAGAGATTAGTCTATTTTAATAGTCTATTAAATCAACATAAACACCACATGTTATATTCATTAATAGATGAGATATAGCATTTTTATTGTAAACAAACTGTTTACGTTTAGAAAGATAACTTTTGAACCATAACAGGATTTTATCTTTAACACCGTGTGACATTAGTTTTTGAACGGGATTTGATGATGTTATCAAATGCTTTAGACAAATCAATAAACACTCGTTATGTAAAACAAGAGACTTTCTTATGTTCTTATATATAAGAACATAAAAAAGTATTTTTTTCATTCTTGTTTACAAGGCTTAAGTCTTGTAAATATTGTCAAAATATTGTGAAAATAGATCATGGTTAAGGCTCCTTAAAATAGATCATGATTAAGGCTGCATTAAAGGGTTAAGATTACAATAGCGTGTGCATTTGTGTCATTAACAAATGCACACGTTTTTGTAATTTTAAGCATATTTCTAGACCTCATAAAAATAGATCATGATTAAGGCTGCGTTAAAGGGTTAAAATTACAAAAGCGTGAGCATTCGAGTAATTACACGTATGCACACGTTTTTATAATCTTAAACATATTTCTAGATCTCATAAAAGTTTTGTTTCATAGATTTCATATGCTTATAAAAAATTAGGCATGTTTTACAGTATTATTAAAATTATTCAAATTAGTTATTTTTAATAAGTTTTTTAAAAAACAAAGTATAACGTGGGAAAGAATGTCCTAAACGTCCTTAATAATGTCCTTAAATAATCCAAATAATGACGTAATTTTGAATTTAAACTTTTCAAATTTTAAAGATACCACTATATGACTACAGATTTTTTTTTTATTTCTAGCCTCAGGAGACAATAGATGATAGGAAAAACTTGAGAGGTACGGTGAAAAAAAAAATGTTTCTGGTACACCCTAACCTACATGTAAAGTTTTGAAGATAAAAACCCAACAGCTACATCAAAACCACTTATGCTATGTTAAACTAGATAATAAAATTAATTCTATTTTATTTTATAAAATTTTTAATATTTGTATTTGGTAATTTAGAAAAATTATTACGGTGTCATGCCAAACGGTGTTAACAATATGGCACACGATTTTGCAAACGATATAAATAACGCCAAAATACCAAATAAGCTATTGCAATGATATTGAAACAATATGGCACACGGATAGTACGATGGCATGAATGAATACAATTAAATCTTTATAGGTAAAAAATTGGAGTTTTTACACCCTGTTTTAAGCATTGAAATTATCTATGGAATGTTGAATTAATTTATAATTTTAAATTCAATTTTATCTCCGCTAGTATTGCGTTATAAGCTACGGACATACTGTAAACAAATCAAAGATGGACACTGAAAGCTATTGATGTTTTGAAATGTAAACATTTACTTGGTTGTCCCTTTTAAATAGAGTTTCACAAATCATAGTATTTGAGCCGTAATTTATTTTAAAAATAAATTAAATAATTTTGTTTACTTAAATAAGTTAATAAGTAACTACTTTGTAACTAATTATTTTTATTTTAGGTTAATTTAATATTTTACAGTATATACTACAAACGACATAATAACTTAAACTGTAATTAACATTGTTAATGAATCAATTATTAAATCTATTACACTGTAGAAAGATAAAAAATAAATTTTTATAAACACTTCTTAGAAACGGAGGTTGACTTTTTTTCTTCAACAAATTTGTTTTAGGAGATTTTCCTGATAAAAAGTGGAATCCACAAGAGCTGTGGTAAAATAACTAAACGATGTTTTAAAGCTTATGAGATCTAACATCAAAATGAGCAGTATTATTATTGAATCGCAATATCCTTATTCATATGTAGATGACGATGGCATTGAAATTGCTTTTCGGGAAGGTGATCGTTTTATTCTTATTGATAGATCTAGTGAAGATTGGTGGAAAGTACAACGTACTGGGCTTTTTACAGGAAAAAGTGTCTGTTATATTCCAGCAGCTTATATGAAAGAACTAAATATTACACAAAATGAAAATAAAACAATTAGTCCATATGCAAATTTAAAAAATAATATAGAAATACTTAATAAAGAAAAGACTTTAAATGAGAACCTTGAAAAACAAAAAGAAGAATATGTTAATCTAAAAGAATATCAAAAAAATATAATCAATAAAAGTAATGCAAAATCTTTATCAAGTGAAATATTCAAGAGTTTACCATATCTTGATGAACAACTTGATGAATCAGTAAGTAAAACTTTTATTTTGATCATGGTTCTATAAAATTATTTTCATGATCATGTGGTTATATTGTTATGTTTATAGTCATGACATTAAACTTATCTATCATTGGGAAAAGTGAGGTCCTTTAGAAATGTTAAAAGCAACTTTAATCTTGGAGAAGGAAAACTCTAAAATAAACGGAGACATAAGGCTTGAGACTTAAGTCTTGGTCTTGAGACGTCTCAAAACTTATATTTAACTGTCATGAACTTAATCTTTTTATTAAAGCTTGGAGTCTTGGTCTTGAATGTCTAGAGTATAAGCCTTGTTGTTGGACCTTTACTGTATTATATTATTTTATTATTTCAACACGATGAATAGGTTAGGAATAAATAATAAGTTGTTACTTCTTATATAACTAATATTAGTTATGAAATCAGTTAATACATAGCTGTCTGATTTACTTCTTACAAGAAGTACTTAAGTAGAATATGTAAACTCTATTTTCAATTTTTTAATTTTTAGTTTTTGTAACAATAGTATGTGGTTACTCTAGTTACAAAAAAAGCATAGCATGTCTGCCTCATGTGTGCTATTCTTAGTTTTAAAGTGTGATGGTCTTGTGTTATTTTTTATTGGTATATTTTGTTTTTAACAACACAAGAGACCTGTTAGTTTTCTATTACTATTAAAGTTATCTTTTGTAGACACCAACAGTGCACTGCACAAGTTGTAATAACATAGTTTTATTTTACATGTGTAGTTGTGTTTTATTATAGAGTGTATAAATGATAAAATGATACATCAGCTAAAGGTTAAAAATTATAATACACGTGTGAGCATGAGTTCTATTGTAGTCTTGATCTTGGTTTTGTGAATATTTTCAAAATCTTGGTCTTGAGGCATATATTTTTGATGTCTTGATCTTTGTTTTGGTCTTGAGCCTAATTGTGTTGGTCTTAGTCTTGAACTTGACTGTCTTGACTACATCTCTAAATTATTGTTAACTAACAGATTTGCTTGTTACAAAAACATACTATTTACTCAATTATCATAATTATTCATTTTTCACAGAATAATAATAGAATAGGGTAGATTCTTTTTAAGGCTTGTAGTTGGTAGCACGGAGGAGGTGGTGAAGCCAGGTAAAGATGATCTGACTTGACTTCAAAACAATTTTTACCGTTATATATAAATTTTTAAACAATCAGACACAAAAATCTTTATAATAACACTTTTTAAAAAAGAACAAGCTTTGATCGATTGATTTGTTTTTTAGTTTTTCTTCGTATAATTTTTGCGTATAGCAAAATTTGTTCTTATTATAAGGATTAAGTTTCCTTCTTTTGAGTTTAATATTTCAGTAAACAAATTGTATACACATAAATATGCACTCTGCAATAATAGTACTAATAACTAATATTACAATAGTGCAGTAGTAATATTAGATAAATACAAATGTTAGAGTTTATAGGTTGTAAATGCATTCTATTGAAGAATCTATTGTGTGTTGTGTGGTAGCATTTAAACACAACTCTGTTTGTTAAATACTTAGATTTTACTTCACATATTTTTACAAGTGATACTTTTTCAACTTGCACTCAGATTTCTAAGTTATTTGAGACAAAAATGGGGAGATCACATTCAATGGATGTAGCTGCATGTGACTATAATGCTATCAGTATTTTCCATGATGTTTTTGTATGTTAAACATTTCTTTGGATGACCTGCATGTATCTCTTTTTTTTAATTTTTATTTTGATATTTATTGATTCTAAAGTGTATGAGCTATATATGTGACCAAATAACTGCATTGCCAGTGTCTGTCTGAAGCATTGTGATATCCAATGCAAGCTTTATAATCTTAGTGTCTTATAATCTTACTGTAGTTTATCATAGTCTTGTGAGTGATAGTATCTAGATAGTATCATGTATAAAAAAGTAGTAACCCCAGGACAGCCTTGAGGAACTCTACTCGTGACATTCTTTCACTTAGAAACATGTTTTTTTAGAGCCAGTTAAACCATGATTCTTTGTACAATCTGTAACAGCTATTCTTACAGTTCATTTAAGGTTCAGTTTCTAAAGTCATTCTTGATATTTGCTATGCATACGTTTTCAAATTTTCTACTTTTTTTTATAACTTTTCCCAAATGCTAGGTACTTTCAAGTCCATAATTAGTAAGCCACTGGATTTGAGATTTGACCAGGTACGGGGGCTGGGTTTGATAAAAAATAGCCAAGTTCAGTTTGATAAAAAATAGCTAGAGCCTAGGTGCAGATTCACAACTCTTTGGTAAGTCCAAAATTTATGTAAAGTTTGTGTAAGTTTTGCTTAAGTTCAAAGTTATGCAAAATTATATTCACAAACCTTGTGTAAGCAAAAACTTACAAAAATCCTAAGTTTTTGCGTAAGTTTTTACTTACGCAAAAAGTCTAAAAAATGGTATTTTCCTAAAACAACATTTTCCTAAAAAGTGCTCAGCAAACTTTACACAAAAAAAGTTACGCCTGCTATTTTCTGACTTATGTTGGGCGTAACTTTGAATAATCTAATAATATTTAAAAATTTGGTTTTTTATTATTGCAAAAGATTTCAGATTCATTATTGGCATACTACCAAGCTATATGAAGTATCCATCATAATAGTAAATGATAGTTAAATTATTAAAGTAAATAAAAAATAATAATTAAGTATAATAACATATATGTAATATGTACATATAAGTTTATATGTATATATATATATATATATATATATATATATATATATATATATATATATATATATATATATATATATATATATATATATATATATATATATTTGGGATATGATATATTTGCAACCCTATATCCCCATACTAAATTTAGTGGAGTTTTTGTTCAAAAATCAAAAAAATAACAAGCATTTTTGCTATATGTCAAAAAAGTTCACCCCCAATTAAAAAATATTTATAAAAAAATTAAAAAAATGTAGTTTTGCAGCACATCTTCCACTACTTTACAGAAACCAATAAACATGTATAATTAAAATTTGTCTACTGTGTATTTGACAATAAGTATTTAATATTTAGTTTTTCTATGCTATGGCATAATGGCATTAAGTCTTGCATCACTTGCACAGCATGTTCTGCACATATATTTGACCGTTGTGTTGGTATTGGTGTTGGCTCAGTGGACCAAAACCTTATCAATGATTTCAATGCTTTGGGATGCTCATTGCATGCTTCTAATGGATTAACAAAATCTGCAGGATTGAAGTAGTGACCCCCAAACCATATATCACCCCATGAACCACAGATGAAGTCACATGCTGCTTGAGTAGATTCTGATTCTTGGTATTCTGGTATTAAAATGTAAGCAAGTAGAATAAAAATGGCTCTCGAATTCCATCTTGCATTGCTTATAGCAGGAAGTGATTTGAAATTAACTTTTGGAAAGTTACCTGTGCTTTTAAACTTTCTATAACATGCTATTAAGTGATTCAGGAAATCCATGTCATCTCTCCAGCGAGTTCGCTTCACTTTCGTCAAAGGATTTCCAATATTACAAAATAATAACTTCAAGTTCTCGTAATCTTGCTGCAACCTTGTCACAAAAGGGTAATGGAGATATGGTGACATTGTTGATCCTGCAAAATGATCATTCATGACATGTTTTAAAAGAGTATCTAGAATATGATGTTGGCATCCAATAAAAACAGGCTTTTCTAGTCCAATGGTTTTAAAATGTTTCTGTAACCATGTAACTGCACCATTTCTTAATCCTGCATTTGTAGATGTTGTGTCAGATGCGATCATTTTAATGGCTGGCCACAGCTCATATTCATCTAGCACATGCTATATCCCATTATATATTGTTTCACTTTTTCCATTCATCATCTCCAGAACAGCAAGCCGAATCTCTCTATTTTCATTTTTCAAAACAACTACTTGATATTCCATTTTCTTTATGTGTTTTCCATCAAAGTGCAAAGACCACTTTTCATTTTTTAGGTTTTCCATATAATTTACTTTCAACTTTTCCCCTTCTTTCATAACACCTTTGTAGATACCACTTTGCGTTGGAGTATAAATAGAAATACCATTTTCTGAGAGAGTTTTACATACTTTATGTGCTTTTTTGGTACTAATATTTGCAGAAATCACTAAATTTACTGCTGAATTTTTTTTTTTTTTTTTTTAAATGATGATGACGGACCTTCAGCTTCAATATCACTGCTGGAACACTGCTCTTTGCTTTCTGAACTTGTCCTTGACTGATGGACATTTGTTTCTTTATCATCACTAATTTTCTTGGATGAATACCTTCAGCATCTTTAATTGTGGTACAATATCCAGGTCTTCCATTTGTTAACTCTAGAAGACAATAAAATTCTTTATCTCCCTGACACAACCAGGCCTTGCGATAAAGCGTCGGGCGATGTGAATTTTACGTCGTCCAAGGGCAATTTTGCGTGTAGCTAGGGCTATTTGCGTCGAGCAAAAAATTTTTTGTTTGAGTATATTTAAAGATATTTTTGAGCGGAATTTTAATGAAGTAATTTACGATTATTTTAACATTTAATAAAGTATTTTAAAAACCGCACGCAGTTGAAATAAAAGTTTGAATTTAAAAAAATTAAATATGCTCATTATTTACAAGTAGAAAAAATTCAAAAATTAAAAAAAAAGTTTAAATCTTTTAAGCTAACATTTTAATAAAATTATTCAGCAATAGCAACGTTGTCGATAAAATTGAACAAAAATACTTTCTTTTAGTTTTAGATTTTAAACTTAAATAATTATTTTACAGGGGTTTGATAGGTTTCAAAATTATTCCATAGATTTAAAAATATTTATTAACTGTTAGACGTATTTTAAGTATTTAAGAGTGATTTCGAGGAAACATTTTAAAAATTGGTGAGGGCAAATAAAAAAAAAAAAGATTAATATTAAAACGTATTCTACTTGATTCAATAAAAAAGTACAGTTATTAAAATTTTTGTAAAAAGTAACTCAAAAAAATTACTTAAATAATAA